CCCACTTTATAACATAATTCCAAATCTTTATCTCTTCAATTTGCAAATCATCACGTTTAATAAGTGAAACTAATGCATTCTTATTAATAAAATTAAAATCTTCAGTAATATTCTAATTTATCAAAGAAAGTAGATAAATGAAGCGTCTAAACTTAAAGTTCAATTTTTCATGGAATGTTTAAGTATTGAAATTTTATTAAAAATAAAAATTTTACAGTAAATACATAATTCCAAAATAAAAAATTATCTATTTTTGATTGAAATAATTAATATATTAATATGTTAAATCCAGTTACGTGTTATCCAGGTAACCTATTAATGAAGAGATACATTATAAGTATGAATAAATCTTTTAGATAATGCTATCAATTAGAATTACCTACTATCAAAGTTTTAAAATCAAATTCTTTGCATTTAATTTATGCAATTACAATCGCATATATTTCATCAGGATATTTTGCTTTTTTTTTTTTGTTATAATAAACGAATACTGCTGAATGCTGCTTTATGTTTGTTTTTTAAAAAATCATCATATCATCGAACTTTTAAATAAAAAAAAAAATTTAGTTACAATATTCATGTATTTTTTTTTATTTGATACTTTATGCAAAAGAAAATATCCGTCTATATAGCCAAATTCTCTTTCAATTGATTATTGACTATGCATATCGACTACTGTTATATATTTAATATTTATTTTTTATTAGAATCAAATAAAATAATACTATATTTGCTTAAATATATTTACCTTAGTGTTTACTTATTAAGTTGTTTAAAAGAGACATGGGTAGTATAAATCTACAGCCATTTTGGGAGAATCTCATATTCATCAAAGAATTTTTATTTGAATCAACACTATAAACTTGCGGTAGGTTTAGTGCTCACGAGTTATCGTGATTCATTTGAGTTACGGCAGGTCTTATAAATCAAAAAAAAATAAAGTGAATTATAGTTTAAAGTATTATGTTAGTAAAATACAAATCTTCTAATTCTTACTATTCAGAAAATTCTCCAGAATCTGCTACAAATTTACAAGTAGCAGTTCCGCATTGAAAAATACAATCATTCTCTTTTAACTCTGTTTGTGACCAACTGAAGGTAACTTCGTAAGAACTGTCATTATCCATAAATAAAACATAACCTTTAGTTGTTAATTTCTGATTTTGTCGAACATTCCAATAATCATAATTGATCAATTGCTTTAATCTTAGTTCTCCGGCTTCACCCTGAAATGAACAAGTATATTTTTATTGTACAGAACTATATCGAAAAGAAGGCTTATTCTCAAAAAAGTAAACAAATATATTTTCTGGAAAAGCATT